GATCGACAATGGGACCTCCTGAAATTGAGAAGCTTCTGTAAGGCAAAAGACACAGTTAGCAAGACAAAAATTCAGCCCAGAGAATGGGAAAAGATATCCACTAACCCCACATCTGACAGAGGGCTGATCTCCAAAATTTCTGAAGAACTCAAGAAGCATGTCTCCAAAACACCAAATGATCCAATTAAAAAGTGGGGTATAGAACTAAATAGAGAATTCTCAATAGAGGAGTCTAAAATTGCTGAGAGACACTTGAGAACCTGCTCCACATCCTTAGTCATTAAGGAAATGCAAATCAAACAACTCTGAGATTCCATCTTACTCCTGTAAGAATGGCCAAAATCAAAAACACCAATGACAATTTATGCTGGAGAGGATTAGGAGAAAGGGGAACACCCCTCCAGTGCTGGTGGGGGTGCCAACTCGTATACCCACTTTGGAAATCAGTATGGAGATTCCTCAGGAAAATGGGAATCAGTTTACCACAAGACCCAGTAATTCCACCATTAGGCATATAGCCAAAAGATGCATACTCATACAACAAGGGTGTCTATTCCACTATGTTCATAGCAGCATTATTTGTAATAGCCAGAACCTGGAAGCAACCTAGATGCCCCACAACTGAAGAGTGGATAGAGAAAATGTGGTACATTCACACAATGGAATACTATTCAGCAGAAAAAAACAAAACAAAACAATGGAATCCTGAAATTTGCAGGCAAATCGATGGCACTAGAACCATCCTGAGTGAGGTAACCCAGTCACAAAAAGACAAATATGGTATGTACCTACTCATATATGGATTTTAGACATGGGTTCAGGGGAGTGCCAGCCTATAATCCCACTGCCAAAGAATCTGGAAAATAGGAAAGAACCGAAGAGAGATATGCATGGTCTCCTAGAGGAGAAGGGGAATGAGGCAAGCTCTCCTGGGCAGATTAGGAGGGGGGAGTGGGAACTGGGAAAAAGAGAGGGGGAGAAGAGGAGAGAGAAGGTCAGGGAGGAGAAAGAAGGTTAAGTTGGGGAAAAATAGAGGAGAACATGATGAGAAATACCATAATAGAGGGAGTCATTATAAGTTTGAGAAGAGATCTGACACCAGTGAGATCTCTAGCGATCTACAAGGATGACACCAACTGACAAAATAAGCAACAGTGGAGACTACCTTAAATGCCCATCCCTGATAATGCGTTTGACGACTACCTTATATGCCATCCTAGAACCTTCATCCAGTGACTGATGGAGGCAGAGGCAGATACCCACAGCTAAACACTGAACTGAACCCAAGGCACCCAGTGACAGAGAGGGAGGAGTGATGAGCAAAGAGGCAAGAAATGTACTGATCTGGTCGATACTGGCAGTGCAGAGAGAAAAGTCATTTGTCACGGGCCACAGTTTGAAGAGGATTTGCTGGTAGAATTGATGGGTGACATGAGACAGAACAGGAGTCACAGACAACTGTAAGTAAGCTACGTTACTTGTAATGATGAAATTCCACTTCTGTCTTGCTAACTGTCCTGCAGCATGGGGGCATGGGCTTATGGGTATAGAGGTAAGCCAAGAATTCCTTCTGAAAATGTTACATTTGAGCCTGTATGTTGGAATCTAAGGGAAGTAGATAAATAGTGGAATGTGTGAGTGTAGAGAAGGAACACAACTGAAGACATAAATTAGGAACCCTTAATGATAAGCAGTCTGGACCTAGGCTGAAGTTCTATAGGAAGTGAGTAGACACACAAAAGCCTGCAAGGGGTCTTGCAATTTAGAGAAAGAGGAGGGGAAAAGAACATGGTATTAAAAAGCGTGTGCTTAATGAACTGTGCATGTTCTTTAGTAATAACTTTACACTGTCAGCTATGTCCACTACAGACATTTCTCTAACCGTGTATCTGTCTTCTAATTGGAGGTATTCTATTTTGAGTTTATCTACTCAGAAATGTCAGTGGCACTGCTGGCAAGAGGGATGCCTTGGTGGGCAAAGGTCTTGTCACTAAGCCTGAGGATGCTGTGGACAGACAGAATTGACTCCCTCAAGTCCTCCTCCTCCACATGTTAGCCATGGCATGTGCGCACTCACATACATATGTATACACACAAAGACAGACAAACAAACAAAGCATAATAAACATTTAAAATGTTTGCACAGTTAAATTCATCAGTAATTTCCCCATTACTTGTAAGGTTGTTGGTTAGAAAGGCAGTTGTCTTTATTTCTGGTTTCATCATCACAGGCTCTTTGGAATTTATTTTGATAGGTTTTGTCACATCCACACTGTCATCTATTAACTCCTTCCTAGTTTACTGGCCTTTGATATATTCTACTTAATAAGAATGACATTTAAAATGAATCCAATTTCAATTTAAGCTTTAAAATTTCAAAAGACAGCCTGTAAAGATGGCACAGTGGTTAAGAGCACTTATTCTTTTACAGAGGACCTGGGTTCAGCTCCCAGCACCCACACGATGGCTCACAACTGCCTACAGGTCCATTTCTACGGATCTGTAGTTCTCTGACTTCTGTGGGTACCGGCATAACATGGTACACCCAAACTCACACAGGTGCACATAAACACACAAACTCACACAGGCACACATAAACACACAAACTCACACAGGCACACATAAGCACACAAACTCACACAGGCACACATAAACACACAAACTCACACAGGCACACATAAACACACAAACTCACACAGGCACACATAAACACACAAAAATGAAGGATAAATCTAAAAACCCCTAAATTTCACAAGAGATATTTGTATAAGAATCTCAGTTCACTTACAAGGAAGTGTGTAAAAATTAATATCTACACAAGAAAAACTGAAGGACAGCAGGATAAACAGGTAAAATAAGACCATGGAAGGCCAGAAAGGAAAGGGTACACAGGGAGAATGGTGTTGGAAGCAGGGACTGTTTGTTGCATGTTCGCCCTGTATCAGGTCTTGCTTCCCAGGGGACATGAGTGGGTGAATAGCTGAGGCACCTGACCTCAGCTGGCTTCTATTACCACGGCAAAACCAAGACACCAAGAAGGATGGTGGTACTTTACAAGGACGAATTTTCAAAAGCTATCGGGACAACAGACAGGGAGAAGACAGCCTGACAATAAAGAGTGTCCTTTGGGAGGTGGCCCTAGGCAGGGCTCTCCCAGAAGGGCTTGGCAGGGTCAGGTGGGAGCAGTGCTCATCAGCCAGGAAGAGCCAAAGTGCAAACACTCCAAGCTAAGGTAAGACCAGAGCCCGGGGTGCCTGTGACGCAGGAGTGGGGGGAGGGGAAGGGAAGAGACAGTGGCACAAATACATACAAATACACAAAAGGAAAACTCTGGAAGGGGTGCACTATAATATGAACTGCTGTCCACTGAGATTTCTTTGGCTGTTTCACAAAAGGTTGTCACTGGGCAAGAACCAGAAGGGTCTTCAGATAAAAAAAAAAAACGTTATACAACACATCAACCTAATATTCATTTTTTCTTTTAAATATAAAAGAACTAAACAACTGGCATAAAGAGGAGGAAATTTAAGTGAACCATTAGAAACATTCACGAGGGCAAGGATTTGAGTATGATTGTTATATAGGTACCTCTGGTGTCTAAAATAATCAAAGCCCAACGTTCAATAAAATTTGTTGAATTAAATGAACTAGTTACTAGTGATGGAACAAGACGTGGATGAAATGAACAACTAGAACAGAACTCCAGACAGGTCTCATGGGCGATGGCACTGGTCTCACAATCACCTTCAACTATGCATGGGACAAACATTTCCATCAAAGCTGGCGAGTTTTGTAGGGCATTACAGTGCTTTTGCTGTTGCACTCAAGAGTCAGACCTAAGTTTAAAAAGGCAGCCTCTTTGCTGTGCTTCTCCCCTAGCCTTGAGCTACCACTTCCTAAGCGGCAGTTGTTGTAATGCAGAACACGCTGTATGTATGCACTCCATAAATGTGTATTTAGGCTGCTGGGATTCTCAAAAAGTTAACACACAGGAAAGCGTTTAAGGAAAACATTTGGACAACTTGGCAGCATTTATCATTGCTAACATTGTTTTCTAGAGTAAACTCTGAAATTGCATTCTAATTTGAAATGGTTCTGGTTTGACAAGTTAACTCTTGAGACATCTAAGCATAGTATTATGAAAAAACAGAGCTGTTCATCAACCCTTTATGCCAATGTTAATTTCTTTTAAAAGTGTGATTTTAATGTTTTTTATTCCTACAGTGACCCTTAAGAGTTCTATGTATGCAATCACCGATCACACAAGATGCATTTATAAGCTTATTTTGTAGTTCTAAAGCCAATTGGGAAATGCAATTTTAATTTTGTTACTGAAATAATTTAAAAATATATCATAGAACTGCCTCTTTTCATCCAACAGTGAAGATCCAGAAAGAGATTACACCAAGTAGAAACTATTCAGGTTTATTAGTGTTAGAAAAATGAAGCTGATAACTTCAAAATGTATATTTAAAAAATTTCATAGTATGCGTTCATTGTACACGACACTATGTTATAAAAGAACATTTCCTATGTAAGTGTATGTTATATGCTGAGTATACTCCCCCATTCTGTTCTCTTCTCCCCTGCCTCAGCCTTTTTGTGGCTAAAAAATTTTGTGTGTACATTCTACATTTTCTTTACCTAACTCTATGCTGCTGGACAACCTAAATATTACAAATAGTTACACGACAGTGCTGATAGGCAAGTATCTCTGTGACATGATGTTTTGTAAACACTCAGCAGTGGTATAGATGTGTCATGGGGTAGATCTAGTCTTAGTGTTCAGAGCACACTCCATATGGATAGCTATAGTGCTTGTGTTAATTCATATTGCCACCATTACAAAAATATTTATGATGTCTTAAGGAACTTAGACAACTTAACAATGATTCATTACACACCAGCCTTGCCATGTTAAACCTAGAAATACTAAAAGTTCCTGATGACTTCTGATACTGCTTGTGATTCATAACAACTGCCAATGGGAAAGGACTTACCGGCTTTTATTCATGAGGTCTGCTCCCCGTGCCTTGTAGTAATCTAAGTTGGGGCGGAACTGGTAAGTCACAGGCCTTGGATTTCTCTAAAGAAAAAGAAATACAATAAAATAAAAAGACAGAAATGAACATTTTGATGTTCTATATATATACAATAAGATGTTTAATAATTACCATGCTTCTGCTTCTATTGGTTCTGTCATAGCTAATCAAAACTGAAAAAATCCAAACATGTTATTTTTAGCCTGTGCTGTTGCTCAAATAGATCACTGTTGTTAGTTTTTATGCTTTCACTTATTTTTAGATACAGTTCTCAAAATGAGATAAAATTATAGCAACATTGTAAAGTTACTGTAATACAAGCATGAACAATCAAAAATGGCCAAGGGACAAGGTGTTCAGAAAACTGCACTTTGGAGGCAAAGTAAAAATGGTTATGGATATTTGATGACCACTAGATGGCACACTGAGTCCTCCTCCCAAAATGAATTCTTTTACTGTCAACAATTTCTAGGTCATCTAATCTTATTTATGAGTTTAATAAATACCCAAAATATGTCAGACAATGGAAACATCAGGATGACCATTAAACTGACTAGTGTAAATTCACCAATTACACTACCTCCCATAAAGTAAAAACTGCCTCTTTCTGCCATCTAATATTATTTACAGCATGACAGAAATGTCCTTAAATCATTGGGTTGTGTGTGTCCATTTAAATTTGCAGCTACTGTTTAAACTGTAATAGTACTAAGCTCCTCACAGACAAGTAAAAATTAAATATACTTATACTTTGCAAAAGCTTAATATTTTATGCCATAATTTAAATGCATAGTAGAATGTCTGACATGTTAAATTGCATATGTCCCAAGAAATGTTTTATAAACTTCTAACGTTTTTTAATGTCCACCTAGAATTTTAACTTAGGTAACACTAGGTCTTTAAAATATAGTATGTACTATTCTCTGAGATCTAGTTAGACACAGAATGGCTGAATTTTATCTTTTTTATTGTTTTTTATTTGAATTGGGGACAATCTTATTTTATATATTAATTCCAGTTCCCTCTCCTTCCCATCCTCCCATATCCCCACCGACCCCCCATTCCACCCCCTTTCTGCTCCCCAGGGAGGGTGAGGCATTAGAAAATTTCCGATATGCTTAGATATCCCTTGGAGACAATTCTAAAACACTGATAATGCTTGCATGCTGGTGCCGGGTGGAGAGGGAGTGGAACTGTTAGGTAAATAGTTTGAGACTCATCAGGCTAATAAGTTGCATCTCGCCAGCCATGACAGAAGACCTTTCTCTTCATTTGAGAGTATTTACATAACTCAACTGTTTGTACCTCTTCTAAGGCAACCCCAATCACCTGACAGAAATGACAATCTGTGATAGCTACTGGCTTGGTATTTGACATGGATCTGTAATAATCAAATCTGAATTGCCCTGATGAGGATAATGGATGCTTCCATGATGACCATACTATTACGTCTAACTGCAACTTTTCTCTCTAAGAATTACATAGGTCACTCATGGTAGCTGATGACAACCTGGACTCAAGTATAATGGAAAAATACAAAAGAGGTTAAAGCCCCTGGCAGATTTAGAGGCTATTCATGATCTATATTAAAAAGTAACTTCCACAAGACTGTAATTCACGACTGATTCTGCTCTTTATTCTCTGTACCAAGAAAAGTATTTTGTTTTTGCTAATATAAAAGGCTTTTCTTTTCTGACTTTCAACAAACTAATAAAGGATCATGCTACTTTTTGTTAGAAAATAATAAAAGAGCAATCCCATGGACCAGTTTTCTGAAACATCTTTATAAAGAAATGACAAGCAATTCAAGACATGAAGTGCTGAGCTATCTAAGCACTCAAGCCATTATTAGGAACAATGATCTTACTTGAGCACATGAATAGGGCTCAGTATTGCGTTCACTGAGACCTATTTAGGTCCCTAGGAGACTTGCCAGAATCAAAGGGAGGTAGTTTAAAGGACTGCAGTGCTGGGAACAATATCGAAGAAGTAAAAAAGATGATGTTGATATTGAATAACTACATATGAAATACCAAGAAAATAAAAAAGGAATTACTGTTCAAAGTTATTCAAGGTTTCCTGTTAAGACGGTGTTATTTCTAAAACAAAAACACACACACACACATGAAGATAACTTGGACAAGCACTATGAAAAAATATAATGTGGGGTACAAGAGCAAAACTTCATTGACAATTAAAAATTATTTAACAGACACAATTAAACACACGTACAAAACAAATGAAATTAAACGTGACCATGGAGAAATTTATTAACGATACACATTCTTTCCTTATGGAAAGTCTTTGGAATCTAGTCTTTTATTTCACACTTAAGCTGTGTTGCCTCTGAGTTAGTCCCACTGCAAACACCGGCTTGTGTTCACCGTTAAGCAGAGAACTATGTCTGGCATAACTGAAAAATCACTTCAAGGTTGTAAACAGTGTATGGACATCAGCAGCAAGAAGGCATGTGTACTTTTACACATTAAAATTCACTGCTGTAGTCTTGCAATTTGCTTCTACTTCTTTGTTTTAATTAATTGTTAGTTTATCTGCTCTTATTATGTTTTTTAAAGTCAAGACACTTTTTGGAATACTCACATATACAAATGAAAAAGCAAACAAAAATTGAATTAATAACCCAGGCTCAGAAAGACAAATGGTTGTATATTCTCCCTCAGCTGATGTTCCTAGCTCCAAATCTTCAGATGTGAATCCATAACCTGGAGTAGCTGTAGATACTAGTAAAGTAAAAAGTGACCATGGTGGGGGTTGGAGGAGGAGCAATTGAGGGTGAACACCAGGGCTCAAGTGATCTAAAGCTGGATCTGACCTAAAAGCCTCCTCATCGAGGACTAGGTTTTATGGTACCAGAAGCTCCCAAAGGAGAGAAACAACCAATAGTCTCACCCAGCTACGATGCCTATGAAGCTCAACAATGACAAGCATGGTGCCATAAGCTGAGGGTGCAGTAGTGGTGCACATACACTAGTCATAACCAACGGCTCTCTAATTAGACTGAAGACGACCTCAACACCCGGGAACCTCCCTAACTCCTCAACACCCGGGAACCTCCCTAACTCCTCAACACCCGGGAACCTCCCTAACTCCTCAACACCCGGGAACCTCCCTAACTCCTCAACACCCGGGAACCTCCCTAACTCCTCAACACCCGGGAACCTCCCTAACTCCTCAACACCCGGGAACCTCCCTAACTCCTCAACACCCGGGAACCTCCCTAACTCCTCAACACCCGGGAACCTCCCTAACTCCTCAACACCCGGGAACCTCCCTAACTCCTCAACACCCGGGAACCTCCCTAACTCCTCAACACCCGGGAACCTCCCTAACTCCTCAACACCCAGGAACCTCCCTAACTACTCAACATTGGTGGATGATGGCTGTTGGGGAATCTATGACTATCACTTCAATAAACCAGTATAATACCTAATAACATTCTTACTATTTGTCCTTATATTCACAGATAAGTGTAGTATTTACCCATCAACAAGAAAACTCTTTGCAACAGATGGAGACCATTCATAAACCCAAAACGTTATTAAAATGCAGAGTTGGGCAGCCCAGTCCCAATTAATGACATAGCTCCTGCACCTAATGCTCAGGGGTCATTGTGGAAGAAAGGATGGAAAAATTGTAAGAACCCAAGGAACAGGAAGTTTGCTGTCAGACTGTATCGCATACTAAATGTCAGAGAAACTATACCCATAAAGTCTCACCAACATGACCTGAACAAGAGTGACACCAGTAGGCACGCTAATGTGACAGGGAGAAAGCTCAGGAGGCTTCAACTTTGACATAGAACACAGGGAACTAAGGAATAAAGAGAAAAGGGGTAATAGCCTTCCCTGGGGAAGAGCATAGGGATTAGTCATCCAATACCAGGTGGTCAGCCCTGAAAATACATATGTACAAGTAACAGTATACGGCCTGAACAGGTTATACTTACATATTTAGTAATTAACACACACACACACACACACACACACACACACACACACACACACACACACACACAGAGAGAGGGGGGGCGGCGTATTGGCTCTCACCCTGATGCTGTGACCCTTTAATACAACTTGAATATAGTTCCTCACATTGTGGTGACCCCTCAACCATAAAGTTATTTTGTTGTTACTTCATAACTGTCATGAATTGTAATGTAAACATCTGTGTGCAGGATATCTGATGTGTGACCCCCAAAGGGGTGGAATCCCAAAGGCTGAGAACCACTGAACTAAACACAAGAGACCATGAATTTGAAAGGGTGCAAGAGAGGTGATGTGGTAAGGAAAGGAGGAATGACGTAATTAAAAGCCTATCACACAATACGTACTTCTATAGCCACCAAAATGTGCCCAAGAGCCAAATTAAAACTAAATAATTGAGCTGGGCATTGGTAGCACACGCCTTTAATCCCAGCACTGGGGAAGCAGAGGCAGGCGAATCTTTGTGAGTTCAAGGCCAGCCTGGTCTACCGAGCAAGTTCCAGGACAGCCTCCAAAACAATACAGAGAAACCCTGTCTCCAAAAACCAACACCCCTCCAAAAACAAAAACTAAAACAAAACCCAAAACTAAGTAATTGATTCAGTCACTATTAAGAATACACACACACACACACACACACACACACACACACACACACACACACACACACACACACCCAGATGGAAGCAATCCTTTCCTCACAAGGGTGAGATTAGAAATAAGCAGAGCTCTGGCTTTTAAAGGTAAAGAGAGGCTTAACTTTCCTTACTTTGAACAGTTTCTCGCAAATATACTGTAGAAAAACATACCAGTTCTTCATAATCTCTAAAGATCTCTAAAACAAGAGGCACTAGACTTTTACATATGCAAAACCCTATATGAGGAAGATCACACACTATGAAAGCTACAATTTCTTATGGTAGCAAATATGCTGACACCTTTAGTACCATGTCTTTTTAAAGTAATTTTCATATTCTGGATTTCAGAATACCATGATTGCCTTCACACTAATATCCATCAACACACACACACACACACAC